CTTCCTTTGTCCACTTGGTGGTCCACCTTCTATTCTGCAGGAGGTCTTGTCTTCTGGCCACCTCCACTAACTTGATTTTTTCTATCGTTGTTTCCTGGAGCTGCCTCACCAGGATCTCCAACTTCAGTGCTCACTGAAGTACACAACTGACCTGGGAGAGCCCAACCCTCCAGAGCAGACCCAGATCCCTGGAACCTGGCCTTGGCCCAACCTCGGCCTTCGCTTTGCCAGGGGAGAAAGTAAAAGACCTCCTCTCAGGGCCAGCAGATCCCCAGCTCTCTGGTGTTTCTGTAACAGCTGCCCATGAACTCTGAATTTCTCTGCAGTTTCCCATGGCATGGATTTGTTCTACCTTGGGGTTCTGTTTACCAGGGCAGTATTCCACTTCCTTTATTTCCTCATCTGACATCCCTACCTGGTTAAGTTCTTGCTGAACCGAGCTAATTCTGCACACCTGATTAAATCTCAAACCAGGGCTTGGAAGATGTAAAACACCAGCCTCCTTGCCAGCTGGCTGCATGTGATAAATACATAGCTCTATTTAGGCAGCCATAAATCAGGGGACTCTCCTTAAGTTTCTGCCTTCGATGGCAAGGGGTGGAGGTGTCTGTGGTTGTTATTACAGGAAAAGTCTGGGAAGGCAAGTCACTGTTTTTGTGGGAGTCACAGGCTTGGAGGAGGCAGAAGCAGTGAGTAAGTGGGACCCTCTCTGCAGATGGACAAGGATTATTAGGAAAGGCGTGATGAAGGGGGTTGGGAGAGCCAGTCCCAGCCTTGAAGAATGAGGCATGGCATTAAGAACGTTGACTCACAGAGTGAAACAGCGATTCCTTTCCAGTTTTCCCTCAGACTTGTAATCATCTTAAAGAGAAAGTCTCAGTTCTGTCTTTAACATCTTTCAAATGCTTCTAAGAGCAAACAGGCCTGAAACCTAGTGCCTTCCCCTGCAGCACTACTAGCTAGAATGCAACAACACCGTTTCATTTCTGGGAATTCATTTTTGTGTTACTTTCTATTTATTGTAAGTGATATTTTTTCTGTTTACAAGGGTGACATAAAATTTCCTTTAGAATTAAGAGTTTAAAAAAGAACTCAATTCAAACCAAAAAGTTAAGCAAATAAAGTATAGCTGGGACTCAATCACGGCAAGAACAACAAAAAACATGACGATGGTGCCCAAGTGATTGACGTTTGGAAAATGCTGTCCCAGAAGAAGGTGCAGGGAGTACTCCCAGATTAAGGAGACCTGGATTTAAAAAATCATCCTTTGCCAATTTCATTCATTCATTCACTATTCAGTACAATAGTATTTTCAAAAAACCTTTCTTTTCCTTGATGTTGTAGATTCCAGAAATAAATTGGAAACTGAAGTTCCTTGATGTTGTAGATTCCAGAAATAAATTGGAAACTGAAGATTTAAGGAAAAATGTTGTTTTAAAATGTTCTGACTTCAAAGAATGATACCAGAAACTTAAAAAGGTATATTAACTACTTATTTAAATTTAGTATTATCAACTAGTATGCCTTAAGGCAACATATGTTTTAGAGCTGTGGGCCTAAAGTGGCTCGTAGTCTTGACCACAATAGAAAAGGCTGAGTTAGCATCTAATAGATGAGCATACTTTTAATGGAATAGTGATTAACCAGTCATTGTCATCCCTGTACACTCTCTTTGGTGAAGATCTCTTGCCCTCTGTGGCTTAGCATGTGAAATTGTACAGTAGCTTGCTCCATCGTTCTGGTTGTAGAAGGGAAGTTGTTATGTGGAGTTCAGCTGGGAATTTCTGTAAGGATTGTATGTTTAGTAATTTGATAGGTAAAAAAAAAAAAAAAGGCAAATGTATCAAAGAGCAGGAGACTCACATCTGAGCTGGTGGGAAACAATGTGAGAACCACAGGACTTGAATGTTAATAGACATGCCTTATGAAATATACATCGATGACACTGGCAGTGTTTAAAGATGGATGAATTTTTTTTTAACTTAACAAAATTTTTTTAACTATTTTTCTGAAATGGGTTTTTTTCATGCCTTATGAAATATACATCGATGACACTGGCAGTGTTTAAAGATGGATGAATTTTTTTTTTTAACTTAACAAATTTTTTTTAACTATTTTTCTGAAATGGGTTTTTTTTCCCCAGACAAAGAACAAAGTGGCCAGCTCAAGGCCTTTCCACTTCTAGGATTATGATTTATTTTATACACACAAAAGTGACCAGAAAAGTGGCCAAAGGAACTTACATGAGTTTTCTTTGTTGTTACAAGAAAGCAAGCCAGTGCACTTCTGGGATGAACCCAAGTTATATATTAATACCCAAATAAAATAGCCCGAGTCCCTGTTCCTACTCAGCAAGAGGTTCAGCACCTGCACAAGGTTTTCCAGGTGTCCAGGGAGGTGCCTCTCCTGGTCGTCCTTCCCTGGGAACTCCAGCCAGCTCTCCCTCTTGCCTCCTGCCCTTTCCCTCCCTCTGTCCCCCTTCATTCCACACACGGCCATTGCTTCTCCTGAATTCCCCAAGGCGTTCGTATGTAACAGACTTTGCAGAACAGATAAGGATGGGGGGTAACAGCACAACCCAGAACAGGCAGTGATGACTGAGACGTCCCTGCCCCCGGGTCCCGTGCTCTGGCTCTGCCAAGAAACTTCGTGCTGGCTGGCTGGCTGGCTCTCTCCTTAGGCCATGTTGTGCTCAGACCCTCTCTCCCACCCACCCCTACAGCTCCTCTGTTACCAATTCTGGGTCTGCTTGAGGGATACAGACACCTCCAGTCCTAGTTAACCTTATGTAAAATAATGCATCTTTCTAACTCTATCCCAGTATAGGATTGAGGTGAACTTTTGCTTTCTTTTTTAAAATAATAATTAAGAAGTTTGGCCCAACAAAAGAGTTGGCTACTTCTGATCCCCTACTCTAGCAATGTAGCACACAGGTAGAAGCAATAAAATTATGATTTTTCTCTTTAATCCATCTCAGCTAAAAGTCTTAAGCATGGCTCCCTCCTTCTCTGAGGAGAGAAACCCCAGGACCAGTGGCAGGTGGGGGATCCTTCCATGGCTTTTGCTTCACTGATGATTTCATTTATCTCTTCAGGGGCTGCACTGATTGGCAGGGGCCCTGGAGGGCTGGCCCTGGATCCTGATTGACCTTCTGCCAGGGAGACACATGAGGCTGAAGATGAATTTGGGAAAAGTAGCCACTTGCTACCTTAGCTATGGAAAAGCAGGGCCACAGTGAGATGGAAATGACCCCTTCAGATCCTTTCTCCTACATTAAATTGTTGAAAGTCAACCGGGAGCTACTGGTCACTCACATCCGTAACACTCAGTGTCTGCTGGACAACCTGCTGAAGAATGACTATTTCTCAGCTGAAGATGCCGAGATTGTGTGCGCCTGCCCCACCCAGCCCGACAAGGTGCCCTGGTGACAGGGAGTGGCATGGGCAGCATGCAAACCTCGGTAGCCATGGGGGCTTCTCCCTACTGACCTGAGTGGAGAGTTCTGAGAGTTCAGTACACTGGGAGGAATTTCACACTGGGGTCTTAGTAGAACATAAATGCCCATGTTATCGGCTCTTGCACAGTCAAGTGTTTCACTTCTTGCATGTGTCTGGAGCCAACGCTTATACCTCAGCTCTTACTGCTATGTGCATTGGTTCCCAGACACCTCATTTTGGGGGGGGGTGGACTGTCCTCTAACCAACTGAGCTGACTGGCCGGCCCTCCCCTCATTTTTTTTCATCTACTTTAAATTAGTAGGAGGGAAAAAGAAAACAAGCATAGAACACCAGCCCTGCTGCTCACTGAATGTGGTCAAGCTCTGGAGGCTGCTCATGGCTGGGTCACACTCAGAACGGGTACTACCATGGGTTCGGGAATGGTGACATCCCGAGGTTGGCCCCAGGAAGGAATGTTCCACACTCCACAGTGGGAGGTTCTAACAGCCCTTAGTGTCACTTAAAATTTGTTTCATCTTCTGAAAAATAAACTCGAGACCAAAAACTGCCTCTTGGTTGGAGGAATGACAGAGCCTGTTTGGCTTCTACAGCAAGCCCAGTAGCACATTCATGTGCTTTGGTCTTCTTTCTTGATCTTTTCTCTGCATTTTTAATAATAAAAAAACTATTTTTAACATATAATTCACATAAGGGTCTGTCATCCTCTTGCTGTATGGCCCAGCCACCCCACCTCTTTATGACAAAGGGGTGACTTTCTCCCTCTCCACACTTATTCCTGAAAAGCCTCCTGGGTTTTTCGAGCTGTGTGTTTTTATTTCTTGCTAAGGAGGTCCGTTTCGCAGGTTCTAGGCCTCCAACATGCTGAATCTCACAACAGCCGGTGGATGGCCATGCTACTGGCTTTAGCAAGAGCTTGAAGCCCTGTCCTGAGCCTGCCTGGGGGTCTTTCCAGTAGGAGGACGCCCCTCATCCAGCTCATGCCCTCATGCTTGTGCCTCCACCAGGTCCGCAAAATTCTGGACCTGGTACAGAGCAAGGGCGAGGAGGTGTCTGAATTCTTCCTCTATGTGCTCCAGCAACTCACAGACGCTTACGTGGACCTCAGGCCTTGGCTGTCAGAAATCGGCTTCTGCCCTTCCCACCTCATTCAGAGCAAAGCTGTTGTCAACACCGATCCAGGTATGCATCAGCCCCAGGGGCAAGCAAGGCCCTGGGGTTGGGAAATGCCCGGCTGGGCATTAGAGCATGCTCCACCATGGCCAGCCCCATAGTTCCCTCACGAAGCAGGCCTGGTGCTCTTCCGATTTTAGAAAGGGAAAGCTGGTCCCCGTCACCTAAGTGCAGCCCGCGTGACTGCAATTGAACTGACCACATGTAACTGGTCAGGTTTATATAGGGGCCCCTGGAAGGACGGGAATGGCCTCTGTTCTGATCTCCTGCTCACTGCCTGTCCTGACATATGTAGACATTTAGTGGTTGCACACGTTCAAGGCTGTATTTTTTTTTTCTTTAATAAATATTTCCAGGTTCGATTCTAGGCAAAGTATTCTTCTATCACCCCCGGGGGTCAGTCTTTATTTCCAAGCTGATCCTTAATCAATCAGTTCAGCAAGTATTCTTGATGTGCCCACCACGTGCCAAGGTGTTGTGCTGGTGCCAGGGACACAGTGGTGAGCACACGCAGATATGGTGCCTGCCCTCAGGAGCTCAGAGTCTAGTGCGCGAGAGAGACCACTGTGAGATAACGTCACGAGTGTGGACTTGCAAATGGAGATCAGGACAGCGGCAGTTCCAGCACTGTGCAGCTGTGACATAATCAGGCCAGGTGGCTCCCGGGGCAGGGCACCTTCCCTCCCTGCTTTTGCTCCCTTCACTTTGAGACAGTGATTGGTAACATACTAGCACCAAGGTCCCAAACTCTGATTTTTAAAGAATCCAGTTTGACCTTGGAAGCAGATGCAAAGGACAGTGTCCCAGAGAGTCGGTGTATGTTTTGGGGAAACAAGGTCAACCGGTAGAGCGCAAGGGCCAAGTTCTTGCTCCTGCACCTAGTGGGGACCTGGCCACTGCGGTGGCTGCTTCTGCTCCCTCTTCTTCCTGCCTCACCTGCTGCCTTCCCCCAAGAAAAAAAGAAAAATACTCCTACAATGAATAGTTCTTCCAAAAGACTTCTCCTTTGGTTTTCTAGCCAGCTACTTCAGTAGCTTTTAATGTATAATTCACTCTACAAGAAGCCACATGCAAAAGACCACATATTGTATGATGCCATTTATGTGAAATGTCCAGAAAAGGAAAGTGTGCAGAGAAAGAAAACAGACCCCTAGTGACCTGCAGCCCAGGCTGGGGCAGGGATTGGCTGCAAAGAGGCTCCAGAGAACTTTGGGAAGATGACAGAGATGTTCTAGAACTGGATTGTGGTGATGCACAACTTTGGAAATTCACTAAAAATCATTGAATAGTATATAACACTTACTTATAATGAATGAGCTTTGTGAAATATAAATTATGCTTCAAAAAAGCTGTAAAAAATATATAATTCACTTTACAAATTTTAAGCATACAACCAAATCGGACTAAGTTGATGGGAAAGGTTTATAGATGAATCTGGAAATGTGCATGGGTATCTAATTTTTGTTAAGTGAACTATAATTAGAATCCAAAAACTATTTTATTTTATTTCATTTCATTTTTGGGCAAGAACTATTTTTTTTTTTCTTTCTGTCTTTTTTCGTGTCCGGCAACAGATCGCAACCCTCAGTGTCGCACCCGTACCGGACCGGGACCGGCAACGGGATCGCAACCCTCGGTGCTGCGCCCGCACCTCGCTCAGCCAGTGAGCGGGAACCGGTCTGTATGTGGGATCCGAACCCTCGGCGGGAGCGCCACCGCGCTTCCCAAGCGGCACACTGTAGCAGTGCGCCACCGGGCCGGCCCTGGGCAAAAACTATTTTAAAGGAATCTCTGGAACACCCTTTTGTTGGGGAAGAACTGCCTCCCTCTTGGTGTAAGCTCCACTCTCCTCGCCTGGGTCTGCTGGGAGCATGGTGCCCGTGTGAGCGTGTGGCCACATCTCCTCCCCTCAGGGGCAGCCCCGGGCTCATCCTGTGGCATATGCCAAGCATCAAGTGATCCCGAGGCCCTCAGCCTGGGCGCCGGGGCTGGTCTGCTCTGTGTAGGATAGGGCTGGTTTCCATCTTAGTGTCCTCAGTTGTGGTGTTTTAGGTGAGGCACAGCTCCTTTGAGCAGTGTTATAAGCAAAAGAAATGTTAGAGTAATTTCTTCCCTTAACAAGACTTTCAGCTGGCAGGTTAACTCAATTGGTTAGAGTGCAGTGTTATAAAAGCAAGGGTTTGGATGCCTGTACTGGTCAGCCACCAAAAAAAAAAAAAGACTTTCCATGGGGACTGGCTCATGCTATTTGAACAGGACTCTGGGGATGGAGTGGGTCAGAAGGGCCATGTGGCCTGGCCCTCGAGTGTAAGGGGGCTTAAGTTTGCAGCTGGAGTTCAATGACAACATTGTACAGAGGAATAAGGGAGGCCTGATTCAGATACTGATCCTAGCTGAAGTCTGTCGCCCTCTGGCTGGCTAAATCTGAGGTCAAGCAGAGAGATTGAAGCCTGGGGACCCTCGGATTCTGGAATGCTGGCCCTGGGGCTGCATGGGGCCTGCATCTGCAGAGTGGGTACACTTGCCTCAGGGTCCAGGGTATGGGTTTTGTTTGCTTGTGGCTTGCCTCTCTCTTCCTTGAGACCTCCCTGTTTGATATGACCTCCACCTCTGTTTCTCTCTCTGCCTCCACCTTTCTCCTGGGGACCACTGTGCCCCATTACCCACCCCTCCAGTGAGCAGGTACACACAGCAGCTGCGCCACCATCTGGGCCGTGAGTCCAAATTCATGCTGTGCTACGCCCAGAAGGAGGAGTTGCTGCTCGAGGAGATGTACACGGACACCGTCATGGAGCTGGTCGGCTTCAGCAACGAGAGTCTGGGCAGCCTGAGCAGCCTGGCCTGCCTCCTGGACCCCACCACGGACGTCCTCAACGAGCAGGGTGAGACCATCTTCATCTTCGGCGACGCGGGGGTGGGCAAGTCCATGCTGCTTCAGCGGCTGCAGCACCTCTGGGCCACTGGCCAGCTGCACGCGGGGGTCAAGTTCTTCTTCCACTTCCGCTGCCGCATGTTCAGCTGCTTCAAAAAGAGTGACTCGCTGTATCTGCAGGACCTGCTCTTCAAGCACTATTGCTACCCGGAGCAGGACCCCGACCAGGTGTTCGCTTTCCTGCTGCGCTTTCCCCAAGCGACCCTCTTCACCTTTGACGGCCTGGACGAGCTGCACTCAGACTTTGACCTGAGTCGCGTGCCTGACAGCTGCTGTCCCTGGGAACCTGCCCACCCCCTGGCCCTGCTGGCCAGCCTGCTCAGCGGGAAGCTGCTCAAGGGGGCCAGCAAGCTTCTGACCGCCCGCACCGGCATTGAGGTGCCGCGCCCGCTCCTGCGGAAAAAGGTGCTTCTCCGGGGCTTCTCCCCCAGCCACCTGCACAGCTTCGCCCGGAGGATGTTCCCTGAGCGGGCCGTCCAGCAGCGCCTGCTGGACAAGCTGGAGGCCAACCCCAACCTCTGCAGCCTGTGCACCGTGCCCCTCTTCTGCTGGATCATCTTCCGGTGCTTCCAGCACTTCCACACCGCCTTCGACGGCTCCCTGCATCTGCCCGACTGCACGGTGACCCTGACCGATGTCTTCCTGTTGGTACTCGAGGTCCACCTGAACAGGACACAGCCCCGCAGCCTGGTGCAGCACAACACCCGCAGCCAGGCAGAGACCCTCCGTGCCGGCTGGGGCACCCTGCGCTCGCTGGGGCAGGTGGCCCACTGGGGCATGGAGAAGAGCCTCTTTGTCTTCAGCCAGGAGGAGCTGCAGGCCTCCGAGCTGCCGGAGGAAGCCCTGCAGCTGGGCTTCCTACGGGCCGTGCCCGAGCTGGGCCCCGGAGGGGACCAGCAGTCCCACGAGTTCTTCCATGTCACCCTCCAGGCCTTCTTTACAGCCTTCTTTCTCGTGGCAGATGACAAGGTGGGCACCCGGGAGCTGCTCAGGTTCTTCCAGGAGTGGACACCTTCTGGGGAGGCAGCCGCGGTGTCCTGCTATCCCCTCTTCCGCCCTTGGCAATGCCTGCAGGCCAGTGGCCTGCCTGGGGAAGACCCCTTCAAGAACAACGATCACTTTCAGTTCACCAGCCTCTTCTTGTGCGGGCTGTTGTCCAAAGCCAAACAGAAGCTCCTACAGCGCCTGGTACCCACGGCAGCCCTAAGGAGGAAGCGCAAGGCCCTGTGGGCACACCTGTTTGCCAGCCTGCGGTCCCACCTGAAGAACCTACCCCGTATTCAGTCTGGGAACTTCAGCCAGGTGCAGGCCATGCCCACCTTCATCTGGATGATGCGCTGCATCTACGAGACACAGAGCCAGAAGGTGGGGCAGCTGGCGGCCAGGGGCATCTGTGCCAACTACCTCAAGCTGAGCTACTGCAATGCCTGCTCGGCTGACTGCAGCGCACTCTCCTTCGTCCTGCACCACTTCCGCAAGCAGCTCGCCCTCGATCTGGACAACAACAATGTCAATGATTACGGCGTGCGGGAGCTGCAGCCCTGCTTCAGCCGCCTCACTGTGGTCAGGTGAGGCCACCAGGCATGGGGAACAGCAGGTGGGCCGGGGTGGGGGGCTGGCTCGGGAGGCACCAGGACTGGCATTGTGGATCAAGATCCCCTGGATCTGCTGTTACCCTGGGACTCCTGACCACTGGTCTTGGAACATCTGGACCTTCTTTATCTCAGGGTGGCAGAGGGCAAGAAACAGAGCTTCTGCAGCTGGGCCAGGATCAGCCCCAGCTGGGTGCCCTTGAACAAATACCTTAACTTCTCTGAGCCCCAGTGTCCTCATCTGGAAAAAGGAGATGCTTATAATCCTAGCAATTACAGTAATACAACCAGCGTTTATTGAGAATGGGTGAAGTGCATTACAAATATTATCTCATTTAATGCTCTTAACCCTATGAGGCAGGTACTGTTATTGTCTCCATTTGGCAAACGAGGAAGCAGAGGCACAGAGGCATTAATAACTTGCTCCAGGTCACACAGCTAGGATGAGGTGGAGGCAGAATGCATGAACATATCTTTTAAGATTAACATAAGGCTTGGAGATGGCGCTTGAAAAGTTTCTGGCATGTGAGAGCTCTTATTATTGCAGAGAAAGCAGACCTTGTGCTAACTGGCATTAGTTACTTTCTATGATGAAAGCCAGCAGCCCTATGCGCTGCTAGAGACCTCAGTCAGAATGCTAACTTGTGGTTATTTTCCTGTTCAGTGGTTTACAGGGAAGAGAAGCCAGTCTGCTTTCTTCTGTTAGCATTTCCTGTATAAAATAAACCTAGTACATCTCTGCAAGGGTTAAATTCTCCATTACTTGGCTCATGCATTTCTAAAGAGCAGTGAGGATTTGGAGCTGATCCTATGCCTGTTGTACCAGTGCCAGAGTGTAAATTGTGTGGGGACTTGGGGTGTAGGGAGCTGAGGGCTGCCCTGGTCTGGGAATTGGAAAGTCTGGAGTCTGTTCTCTGCACTCTCAGCCAGGAACTGTCCCTCTGCAACCTTAGGCAATCTCACATCCAGCGCCAGCCTGTACCCATCTTATAAAAGGGAAACTGTACCAGCAAGTGGTCCTGCCCCATCCTGCTGTCCCCAGGTGACGTTTTCCTCCACACCAATGAGAGAAAAAGCAGCTCATATGGAAGCATTTTGAACTCTCTGAGAGCATCAGTTAGCATTAATTTTGGCTTAATTAGAAAAAACCCAGAATCTTGGTGGCTTAAATAAATTGCAAGCTTACATCTCTCTTGTGCAAAGTCTAGAGGTAGGCAGTTCAGGGCTGGTGTGTTGTCTCTATGACCATGCAAATCCCAGGCTCTCTTCTGCCTTGCTACTCTGCCATCCTCACTATCTGGTTTCTACCTCTTGACCCAAGACAGCTGCTCAAGCTCCAGCCATCTAGTTGATATTCTAGCCATTCTAGGAAGAAGGAAGGGCAAAGAAGGACCCACCCTATTCTTTTAAGAAGACTTCTCAGCTATTACCTATGCTACTGCTGCTTAGATTTCACTGGGCAGAACCCCAAGACAGCTGCTCAAGCTCCAGCCATCTAGTTGATATTCTAGCCATTCTAGGAAGAAGGGAGGGCAAAGAAGGACCCACCCTATTCTTTTAAGAAGACTTCTCAGCTATTACCTATGCTACTGCTGCTTAGATTTCACTGGGCAGAACATAATCATATGTGCCTAGCTAAAAAATGGGGGATTCTGTTACTAAGAAAGCATAGACATTAGGAGTGACGAATAGCCTCTGCCATCCTGGGATAGCCATGCAGTGTGTGTACACACAATGCCCCAGCACCAAGCTGGGTATTATGGGGGGAAGAGTCCAGAGTATCCGACCTGATCATTTTGGTGTGGCATAAAAATCAACCTTTCACCTACTTGGTCTTTTACTTATTACAGAGGTCAGCTGTGGACCAAATTCAGACGTTGGCTTATGTTTGTAAATAAAGCTTTATTGGAGCACAGCCACAGCCATTTGTTTACTTACTGGCTGCTTTGCATTACTGACTTGAGTAGTCATGACAGAGACCATATGGCCCACAGAGCCTAAAATATTGGCCATCTGACCCTTTAGAGAAAAAGTTTGCTGACTCCTGGTGTATTACCTTATCCAGTTTCTGACTCTCAGCTCATCCCTGAATCTTATTCTGCTTTTCAAGCTTCACCTAAATGATGGGGTAGAGGATTGAGAAGATCAGTTTAGCTTGATACGGAGATTTCTTGGTAGTGAAAAAAAGTTGTTTCACATTTTAGCCACATTAAACTATCCTGCTAGTGTAGGGACTTCCCAGAGAAATTCCATGTGTGGCTGGGCCTTGTCTGGAAGATATCCACAGTCCCGGAGTCCCTCTTTTCCTGCCCTGCCTCTGAGCCTGGCTACACAGGTGGCCACTGCCTTATAGAGGAGCCAGAGAGTCCTGTCCCTTCTGGTCCTGCTTCTGGTGGTTTCTCAATCACCACCTGCACTTTTCCCCACAGAGCCGTGCCACGTGAACAGTCTCTCTTGGCAGGAGGGCCCCAGACCTTTTCTGGCAGCAAGTCAGGCTTAGCCCATGCATTTCTGGATGGGTAGGCTGTTGGCATTCTGGGTGGGACAATTCTTGTGGGAACTGTCCAGGTTTTACAGGACACCTAACATCACCAGTCCCACCCACAAGATGATGGGGCATTTCCTCCCCCAGTCACAGCAGCTACTAAAAGCAGTCCCTCCATTTCCAAACCCCATGCCCCGCACTGTGCAGCAGGAACCTCAGAGAGGGTGTGGTGGGATGCTGGCTTCATGTTTCCCTCATGGGCTGTGCTATATGCCAGGCTTTTTAGGGGCTGTGTGGCTGCTATGGCCATTCTCGCAGGGGGCATTTGTAACTGGGAGAACTCCAGGGCCTATAGGCTCTGGATCCTTGTGGGATTAATGGTCCTTCGTAATGAGCAGCTGCCCTGATTTGTACTTTTCTTTGCTGATTGGTTTCAGACTCAGCGTAAACCAGATTACCGACAGTGGGGTAAAGGTGCTGTATGAAGAGCTGACCAAATACAAAATTCTCACGTATTTGGGGTATGTCTTTCTCAAGAACACTGGGCCAGTGCCCTGGTAATGATACAGAGCAGCAGGAACCAATGGCCCAGGGCCAGGAAGAGAACTGGTCCAGGACGTAGGAGCCCTGGGTTCTGTTCTTGGCTCAGCCAGGAGCCCACTGAGCAAGTCACAAAATCTCTCTGAGCCACAGCCTCCTCACTTGTAAAATTGGGATCCTAACATAGGCAAGTAGTTTTACAACAGGTTATTGGGGAATGCAAAGAAAGAGTATATGGGGATATGTTCTATAAATGTTAAAATGTTGTTTATGGATTGGACTTTACTACTATGGGCCCATAATCCCTCATCCAGAACCTGTGGGGCAGGACATGAGTGGGATTCTGTGTACGTGCTATATAGTAGGGACACAGCCAGTGGGGTCTAGGGCAATAGCCCATTCTCAAATACTTTAATCTTTCTGCAGCAAAATGTATGGATATTCAGACCAAGTAGGGTAAGTAAAGACCATAAAGAGCTCCACATCCGTTGCCAAAAGAGTTATGAAAAAGTGGGTTTTCAGAGCCTTTGGGATTTTGGAGTTTGGGATCAGGGATTGTGGGCCAGTCCAGCCAGCCCCACAGCCATTGGCCCTGTGAGCAGGAATGGTTGCCAGCTGCTTTGGGCCTCAGTGGCTCCCGCTGTAAAATGAGGATGTGAGGTGAATGATCTCAGGCTCCCCTCAGCCTGGAGCTCTGTGCAACTGTGGAGACCTCGAAACCTCAGTTTAGTGACGTCTTTCAGCTTCTTTCTGCCTTATTGTTGAACTGGTATCGAGTGGTTAGATGACTGAAAGGGAGACACCGGGAAGCTTCAGTATTCAGAACGAAACCTTTTCTCCTCAAGATGCTGGCTATAATCTTAATTGAACAGATACCCATCATCTACCATTTATCAAGCACTAATGTGCCAGGGCTTTGCCTCATGTCATATAATCCTCATAAAAAGGGAACTCTAATTATTACCCCAGTATTACAGCTAGAGAAACTGACACGCAGAGAGGTTAAGTAACTTGTTCCAGGTCAGAAGGCCAGAGAAAGTGGTGAGGCTGGTTTTGAACCCAGGCTATGAGATCCCAGAGCCTACAACTCTGGTCTCTACATGTTCTCCTTTCAACCCAGACTTTGGGAAAAAATACTTAGGAAAAAAATGGGGGTCATTGAAATGACATTGGAAGTCATAAAGTCTCATGGCTGTGCTTTCTCTCGAAGGTTATACAACAACCAGATCACAGACGTCGGAGCCAGGTTCATTGCCCAAATCCTGAATGAGTGCAAAGGCCTCACACACCTTAAGTAAGTGGGGTTGGGTGTGGAGCTTCCTAGTAGTTCCTCTTCTCCTTTGCTTCTCTTGGTCACCCCTTTTGTTACTCAAAGAATAAATGTCACTGTAAGAGCTTTCACCCTAAAGCCTTCTGCTTGCCCCAGGGCCATGCTGGTCAAATTAACACATAGGCCTGTTTGTGAAAGGTGAGCTGACCTCGTGGAAGAATTGTGACCTATGGGTGAGGCTCAGATTTTGGTTTTTTTGTTTGTTTGTTTTTAAAAGATGACCGGTAAGGGGATCTCAACCCTTGACTTGGTGTTGTCAGCACCACGCTCAGCCAGTGAGCAAACCGGCCATCCCTATATAGGATCCGAACCCGTGGCCTTGGTGTTATCAGCACCACACTCTCCCGAGTGAGCCCCGGGCTCACTTGTCATCAGTCGGGGGAAGGCTTAGAATCTTGATTTTATTAGCTACTGACAGGAAGAAAGGGCACAGCTATCACCCTTTCTGGAGTACTAGAGAGAAGGGAGTCCCCATTTAGTTGCAAGCAAGAGCTTGATCCTTTGCTCTGTCCCACAATGCCCTGCCAAGGGTGATGTGCCTGTTTCTTCCCTAGCAATGGGTATGCACCTTGACAATTGGCAGTCAAAGCAGGAACTCCCAGGCCTGCCAATGGAAGTGAGCAATGCTCCCGGGGCCACTTAGAGACACCAGGGCAGGCTCGGGTTGCTAAGTTTCTGCAGAGATCTTGAGCCCCTCCTAGAGCGAAACCCTGACTGGCTGTCATCGGGGCCTTTGGTCCCTCCTGCTCCCGGGGCCACTTAGAGACACCAGGGCAGGCTCGGGTTGCTAAGTTTCTGCAGAGATCTCGAGCCCCTCCTAGAGCGAAACCCTGACTGGCTGTCATCGGGGCCTTTGGTCCCTCCCGAGAGGAGGCCCAGGGCATGGCTGCTGTGGGTCCCAGGAGAAAGACCCCACTTCTCTAGCAGGGTCCAGGAGGAGCTCTGTGCTGGGGAAGAGGGTGGTCCACGTTGGGGGTCTCCGCACAGCTGGAGGCCAACTGTTCATGACTCTCTCTGCAGACTGGGAAAAAACCAAATAACGAGTGAAGGAGGGAAGTGTCTGGCCCTGGCTGTGAAGAACAGCAAGTCAATCTTTGAGATTGGGTGAGTAGAAGCAATGACCGGGTGTGGGCGTGCTGTGGCCTGCGCTGTGCACGCGGTCTCCTGCTGGCCCTTCTGCACGTCAGTACACCAGGGGGGCTGCTTGTCTAGCTGTGGGAAGAGGCAGCAGCCAGAGAGCTTTCTCCACTGATGTTCTGTGGCTTCTGCACGGGAAACGTGTGGAAAGGAGACTAGGGTTGACTACAACTTGCATCACACAGACTTTTGTTTAAGTCATGCAAAAATCAGTGTTGTCACCACCTGCAAATGAAGGGAGCTGTACCAGCCCTATGTGGGAGTTTCTACAGGCACGTGGTCTTCATTGTAAGAATATGATATATATACTCTGCAGGCTTTGTTTTTCTATCAAATTTTTTTTATTGTGGTAAAATACACATAACATGTAGTTTACAGTCTTAGCCATTTTTAATTGTATAGTTGAGTGGTATTATGTATGTTCATATCATTATATTACCATCACCATCACCCATCTCCAAAACTCTTTTCATCTTGCAAATCTGAAACTGTACCCATTAAACTCCCCATTTCCCCTTCCCACAGCCCCTGGCAACCACCATTCTACTTTCTGTCTCTGTGAATTCAACACCTCTAACTACCTCATATAGGTAAATCACACAGTATTTGTCTTTCTGAAACTGGCTTATCTGACTTAGCATAATGTCCTCAAGGTTCATCCATGTTGTAGCACATGTCAGAATTTCCCTCCTTTTTAAGGCTGAATAATGTCCATCATATGTATATGCCACATTTTTTTTATGCATCATCCACTGATAGTCACTTGCATTGCTTTCGTGTTTTAGCTATCGTGAACAGTGCTGCTATGAACATGGATGTGCAGGTATTTCATCCAGGCCCCGCTTTCAATTCTTTTGGGTATATGCTGAGAAGTAGAATTTCTGGGTCATATTGTAATTCTATTTTTTAATTTTTTGAGGAAACTCCACACTGTTCTCCATAGCAGCTGCACCATTTTACATCCCCACCAGCAGTGCACAAGGGTTCCAGTTTCTCCACATCTTCACCAACACTTGTTATTTTCTGGTTTTTGTTTTTTGGGTTTTTTTGATAGTAGCCATCCTAATGGGTGTGTGATAATATCTCATCATGGTTTTGATTCTAGAGGCTTTTTAAAGCTTTCTATGTCATTATAATTTTTATTGGATTATAAAAGGAATATAGGTAATTTTACTTGGAAATTATGGAAAATAGGAAAATTAATAAAAATTATCTTCTCAAAAATAGTTATTTTTAACATTTGAGGTCAATTAAGCTTTCCCATTTTCTCTTTCTCTCTTTGTACTATTTCTTAAAATAGAGTAGAGGTCAAACTCTTTGTTCAGAATTTTATCTTTCGTTTTTCATTTAATCTCATGAGGAGTTTTCCACTTGATTAAAAATTCGATACCACCGAATTGTGTAACACTGAAGACTCTAACTCTGGGGTTTCAGCAAGCCGTAGCTGGCGGGACTTTGGCAGGGTGTTGCTTGGTGGGAGTGTGTTGCTGAGGTGCCTTGGGTTCTGTTGTGGGTGGGCCGGGCAGACTTGCTTTGCTCTGTGTAGGCAGTGCCCCTCATCCTGCAGGGATAGCTGACACTTTTGATAGGTCAGGCACTGTTCCGTGTGCTTTGCATCCATTAACTCATTGAATCCTGACAACAACTCTATGAGGGAACACTCTTATCATCCCCATTCTGCAGATGAGGAGACTGAGGTCTGAGAGGTTACACAATTTGCTCAAGGTTGCACAGGTAGTAGGTGGCAGAGCCAGGACGGCAGACAGTTTTAGCCAGATCTATTCAGATTATCTCCTCTGGCAGAGAGAACACAGCTTCATCTTTGCGACTGTCCACTAAGATTGCAACAGTCGGCAGAGCATGTTTGGTGACGTGCTCCTCATGTAAGAGGAACATTGCTGACAGGTTTCTGAATGTACTTCCCCGTCTCTGCCTCACAGAAGACTGCCTGTGTCTTCAGGAACGTCTGTGACCCCTGTGCAGAGTTGAGCACACGCTGGGAGTCCAGCACCTGCACAGGCCTGCCTGTCAGGCTGCCGCAGACCTTTATACTCTGCAGGGGACATGCAGACTGTTTATTTCTGGGATGGTCTGAGCTTAGGCTCTCGGATGGACAGTTCTCCAAAAGCTGGGGATGAGACCCGGTCTCTAATTGTGCAGCTCGCCAGCCAGCCTGTGTTCACAAGGCTCCACTGCTCTTTCTTCACACATTCCCTTGGGAGTCTGGAATCCAGAGCAGCCCCCTAAGGAGCCAGCGTGAGGAACTAGCCTTGGCCACAGCTCCAGGGGCTGAGCAGAAACCTCTGCCTGTTGAGCATTCATCAAGCTGTGCCACTGGCAGAAAATCAGGGGTGAGCATGGCTGTTTGGGGGGAGCTAACTTTCACTGTCTTGCCTCTGCCCTCAGAATGTGGGGCAATCAAATTGGGGATGAAGGAGCAAAAGCCTTCGCTGAGGCTCTGAGGAACCACCCCAGCTTGACCAACCTGAGGTAACTGCTGCCTTCTGAGACCTGCGGTCCCCAGGGCCGACCCAATCACTCTGCACTCCTCTGGGTTTGCCAGGGGAGGAGTTCGGGGAGGGGGCAATTGGCTTTCCTAGTAGGGGAGGGAATTTGTGTGTGTGATTTTCAGGTTCACATCATCAACCATCAATACAGAAGACAGACTTCTGTAACCAAATGTGTGGGGATTGCAATCAGTTCTGCAGTGGACACCAGCTGGGTGCCCTCCAATTCAATTCAAAGAATTTATTTGAGCCAAATTGAGTGACTGCAGCCCAGGAGGCACTTCCAAGTCATCTTGGGAAGTGCTCTGGAGAAACAAAGAAGTTGGGCTTGTAAAGGAAAAGGACAGATCAGAAGAGGAGTGGTTGCAAAATTGTTTGTCTGACAATACAATTGGCACTAGCATCTTTACGTAGTCTTGGCAGTAAGGGATTGGTTGTAACAGTCTTTGAGACAATCCTCAGCTAGACATTCTCCATTTTGACAGGAGGTATATGGATAACAGTCAACAGATGGTTGGTAGATGTTGGTCATTATTCTTCCAGGACATTGTGACCCTTGATATTGATTAGCAAAGTTTAAAAGTTCAGAGTGTCTTTGGATGTGATTGATAGCAAAAGTTCACAAGTTCAGGGTGCCCTCGGATGAGACATGCCTGAAGCTCAAGCTAGGATGGCCTCCTGACTCCGTTTTAGATTCCTGACAGACTGACACCATTTTCCTTCATCAATGAATAAGACAATAGAAAGAACAGTGTGTGTTTTTCCCTCTCTCAGGATGTGTCTCTAATAATTGACCCCATGTTTTCCTTCCTAGCCTTGCATTCAATGGCATCTCCACAGAAGGAGGAAAGAGTCTTGCACGGGCCCTGCAGCAGAATGCATCTCTGAGAATATTCTGGTAATAACTAGGGTCATTTTGAAGGGTTGGGTCTCAGGAATTATTCCAGGGGCTGCACACAGCCTCAAATCTTAACTGAAAAATTGCCTCTCAATTGGAAAGGCTCTAAACCTTTCAAAGTTAGGCTGATAACTTAATTTCCTCTTAGAGAAGAAGATAGCTATTTCCAGAAGCACAAACGGGTACAGAAGGGTGACATGGGCCCCGGGAGCATGAGTTTGTGGCTTAGCTTCTTTGCTACTCTAGGCCTTGGGACAACCAGAAGGATGCCCCTTGAACAGTCAGGAGCATCCCTAGAGCCACCTCGGAGAGGCCTGGCAGGGTCCACTTTCATGCCCTTGGCCCAGCGTCCTCCCTTCCCGCTCTTCACCTGCTCCCCGGGGCAGCCTCCTCTTACCGGGTTTCCAGTCGGGAGCTGGCCTTCGTTCTCACCATCACCTGTCACCAGCGGCCCACGTCCCCACCCCTCTGCACTCCAGGGCACTTACTGAGCGGATGCTGCCTCCTGTTGGTGCTTTTTGTTGTTATTCCTTTTTTTTTTTTTTTTTTTGGTCATTTAACCTTTTATTTTTCTTTGTATCTTATTTACTCGCCTGTGTCATGTCATCAGTTCCTCACGGGCGAGGAAGTTGCATTACAGCCGTCCATGTCATCCGCCCGCAGCTCAGTGCTCATTACATTTGGTTAAGTTCGTTACTGAAAATAATGAAGATGTCATCTTTTTTTTTTTTTCCTTTTTGTCTTTTTTTGTGTCCGGCAACGGATCGCAACCCTCAGTGTCGCCCCCGTACCGGACCGGGACCGGCAACGGGATCGCAACCCTCGGTGTTGCTCTCGCACCTCGCTCAGCCAGTGAGCAGGAACCGGTCTATATGTGGGATCCGAACCCTCGATGGGAGCGCCGCCGCGCTCCCAAGTGGCGCACTGTAGCAGTGCGCCACCGGGCCGGCCCTGAAGATGTCATCTTTATGAGAGTTCTGATATGAGACGTCCTGGCCACTAATGCATCTTTCATTCTTTCCCCTCAAAAACAATCCTTGACATTTTGAAAAGTAATGTATTCTTTTCCAAAAAAAAATGTAAGACACTGAAGTCTGAAAGTGGGAAGTAAAAGTACCTCCCTCATTTATGCTTTCCCTTCTAGCTCCTTTTTTAAATGTGTATTCAAATATAGTATATACAAACTAGAGCAGCACTTAGCAAGTGGCTTTAAAAAATATCTTAACCATATACTGTACATATTTTACATGTCCCTTTGTCAGGGTTTCTCAGTCTTGACACTGTTGACATTTTGGTCCAAATAACTCTATGTTAGGAGGGGCTGTCCTGTGCACCAGGGATATTCAGTAGCAGCCCTGGCCTGTACCATTAGGCACCGGTAGTACCCTCAATCGTCACGATCAACACTGTCTGCATACGTTGCCAGATGTCCTGTGGACGGTGAAGTCTCCCCTGCTGAGAACCACTGCTCTGCTTGGACGCTAGTCATGTCAGTACCATAATCTCTTGAGAGCTGACCGTACGCCATGTATTGTTCAAAGTCTTTTCATGTATTAGCTCCCTCAATCTCACGACCACTCCATGAGGCCCGTACTGTTACTATTCCCATGTACCGATGAGAAAACTCAGACCCAGAGAAGTTAAACCACTTGCCCAAGGTCACCCTGCTAGTAAGTGATACAGACCCAGCAAGTCTGACACTAGAGCACTCTCAGCACTGTTCCCTTCTGCCTCTTTCTTTATTCTACCTTGTTCTCTCTAAGGGCTGCGTGACATCCCACTGAGTGGCTGTTCACAATTTATCAGTGCTTTCTATCGATAGATGTTTAAATTTGTTCAAATTTTACTTTATAACAGACAATACTTCAGCATATGCTGCAGGTTATAAATCCCATGTGTACATCTTTGCACACAAATCTTGGGTAGATTTCTAGAAGTCTAATTGTTGTCTTAAAGTGGAACACATTTAAAATTTGGATAGACACTACCAAATTGCCCTTCAATAAATGATTTTTTTAATGATGTTCTCTTCTATTCCATTCTTCCTTATTATTCTTTCATCCACTGGAACAACAGGGTCCAGCCCTATTTACACGCAGGAGCTTCTGTGCTTTCTCAGACCACTTCTGATTTTAAGAACAATTGAGGGGCTTCCTGAACTTTCCATCACTGAACCCGGGTCCTTCACAAGTGGCTTCAGAGCACAGCGCTGAACACATTTTAACATGCAGTTGTCGGGCTTTCCCAGGTCTTCATTCTGACTTGGCTAACACACTGTTAGTGGGGTGCAAGGGATCTTGAGGCGGGAGGAGACATGAGAAGCAGGCGTTGGCCCCTTGTTTTCGTGGGCCCCCATCTTCTGTGAAGTCTGAGGGTTCAGCAGGGTGGGCAGGTAGTGTGGGCTCCTCTGCAGGCAGCAGGGCTAAGAAATAGGAGCTCGGCTACAGGATTTGCACTGGAAGTCACCATTTATTGGCTGTGGGTCGAGAGGCTGGGCTTGTAGCGTGGCTGTTAGCTGGGCTCTTGGCAAGTGATCAGCTGCATAACTGGAGAGACCTGGGCTGGGATCCCGCTTCCGTGAACTCATTAAACAAAGTCTGCCAGGTCGGCTCTCCTGAGTAAACACTTCCATTTTTTTTCTAGGCTGACCAAAAATGAACTCAACGATGAAGTGGCAGAGAGCTTGGCAGAAATGTTAAAGGTCAACCAGACATTGAAGCATTTATGGTAACTCAGAGAGCCTTAGAATTTCAGACTGTGCTACTTTTCAAAAATATTTTCTGAGATAAAATTTACATACTATCAAATTCACACTTTTGAAGTGTACAATTCAGAAATGTTTAATATATTCACGAGGTTGTGCAACCATCACCATCTAATTCTGGAACATTTCCACTGCTCCCTCCCCCTGCATAAAAGGCCTGTGTGCATTAAGCAGTCGCTCCCCATCCTTTTCCTCCCCCCAGCACTGACGACCACTAATCCACTTTCCGTCTCTGTGGATTTGCCTACTCCCGGTATTTCAGGTAAATGGAATCATGCCATATGTGACCTTTGGTCTCTGTGCTCTTTCACTAGCATAAGTTTTCAAGGTTTGTGTACATTGTAGCATGTATCGGTACTTCGTTGGCTACTTTTTTATGGCTAAGCAATATATTCCACTGTATGGATATTTCACAATGTTTATTCATCAGTTGATGGACATTTGGGTAGTTCCTATTGTTTGACTATTATGAATAATGCTGCTGTGAACACTCATGTACATGCTTTTGTGTGAACATATGTTTTCATTTCTCTTGGGTATATGCTTAGGAATAGAATTGCCTGGACATATAGCAACTCTTTATCTTTATGACTAACCACCAAACTGTTTTCCAAAGTGGCTGCACTGTTTTACATTCTCCCCAGGGACGTGTGAGGGTTCCTGTTTCTCCACATCCTCATGACACTTGCTCTCTGTCGTCCATCTTTTTTGAATCTAGCCATACTAGGGGGTGTGAAGTGATACCATATGGTGGTTTTGATTTGCATTTCTGTGATGACCCACAATGTTGAGTGTCTTTTCATGTGCCTGTTGACCATCTGTGTATCTTCTTTGGAGAAATGTTTCTGCATCCCTTGCCTATATTTTAATTGGGTTGTCTTTTTATTGCTGAGTTGTAAGAGTCTTTGTATTTCCTGGCTGCTAGACCTTTAAGAGCTATAGGATTTGCAAATATTATCTCTCTTTCTGTGGGGTTTTTCTCTTTTTTGATAGCGAACTTTGAAGCACGAAAGTTTTTAATTTTGATGAAGACCAATTTATTTTTCCTTTGGTTGTTTGTGCTTTAGGTGTCTTATCTAAGAGACCATTGCCTAATCCAAGTTCACAAAGATTTATACCTGTGTTTTCTGTTAAGTTGTGTAGTTTTGCTCCCACACTAGGTCTCCAACCCACTTTGAGCTAGTTGTTGCGTGTAGTGTAAGGTGGAAGTCCAGCGTCATTCTTTTGCACGTGGACATCCAGCTGTCCCAGCACCATCTTTTGAAAAGACTCTGTCCCTATTTGATGGCCTTGACATCCTTTTCAACAATCAATTGGCCATAAATATATGGACTTATTTCTGGGCTTTCTATTCTAGTCCATTGATCTATATGTCTGTCCTTATGCAAGGATCAGACTGTCTTAATTACTGTAGATTTGTAGTCAAGTTTTGAAATCAGGAAGTGTGAGTTCTACAACTTTGTTCTTTCTTAAGATTGTTTTGGTCCTTCTGGGTCCCTTGCATCTCATCTGAATTTAGGAATGCCTTGTCGATTTCTGCAAATTTGGATCCCCATACCGGCCAGCTGCCAAGAAAAATTTTTTTCCTGCCAAAAAGCCAGATTGTGCTTTCAGATCTGTTTTTTGTTTGTTTGTTTTTTCTTTTCTTTTCTTTTTAGCCTGCAGACTTATTTTGTGCTCTTCCCTAGGTGCTAGGTCAGCCCCTCCTGGGAGAACAGAGCTGGAACAGGCTTAGAGAGAGATCCTTGGCTGCTTCATGCATGCACAGGCTGTGCTCACCCTAGTGAAGGCAGCCCCAGTGGGCAGATGTGTCTGGGCACTGCCAGGCATTTAGGGACATTAGGTGCTCTTCTGCTTCCTGTTCTCTTGCCAAGTCTTGGTTGGAGACAGCCCACCCTGCCCCCAACAAGACGTAGGTGGTGGCAGTGGCAGCCACTGTGAAGGTGGTGATTAGAAAACAGCAGAGTTGAACTGAATGCAGAACTCTGTGCCTACCTCCAGGTTCTATTTTTGTTCCTTTTGCAAAAATGTCATTACACTTGTGGTCACTGTCACTGGAAGGTCATCACCTCTGCCACTTAGCTGGGGTCCTAACCTTTGGGGG